AATTATAATTAGTTCTATTTTAATTTAAAATTAGGTTTCTTGGCATATATTCTATTGTCTTGTCATTTAAGTGAGTTTATTCATTCACATGTTTTTTATCTTGAATATACTTTTCTCCTAATGCATGAAACATAATCAGGTCAATGTTACGTCTACTAAAATTTTACTCCTTGAAGAAGAGAAGCCCTAGGCTAGTCTTCCTTGAAGTTCATAGTCTTTCTCTAAACAATCAACGTTATTATAGGAACGCAGTCATTTTTAATGCTTTATATTTATTTATCTATTTTTTAATGAAAAGCGTTAGTTTTTCAAAGTTTCCTTTGCTGCATTACGATTAGCATTTAATATTATGAAACAGGTATATTTTCTGCTTTTATGTGAGGTCAAAAAATTTTCTTCATTATCGCATCTTAAATTACATATCATGTAGTTATTTGCGAAAATACTTTTTGTCCTTAATGGATTTCGACATAACATTACGTATTGGTGGAATTTTGTGATAGTTTTCATAAAAAATATCTGATGTGCGCACCACATAACTTCCTCGTACGGTCTATTAAATTATACGTATTTTTTGCTGCACTTTATTTAAACTTATTTTTTCGAATTTCTATAGAGGATTTCTATATTTTTAATTCAATCAATTCAGTTCTCACTTCGCGGCAAGGCAAAAACGCATAAAAACTCAAAGCTTCATAAAATTTTGTAAAATACAGAAAAACATAAAAGACTGGATACAGTTAAGACATATTTTTACAATTAAAATTAGAGTTTCTACGCAAAAACGAACAATTCTGCCAGCGGACAAGAAGACAAAATTTTCGGTGCACAAAACTGAAAACTAACTTTTGGTCACACTGGGTAAAAAGACATTGAAGTTTGTTCAACAAATGACTTAATTCGCTATTCCGCTAAAACTCTAAAAATTTTAAATGTAAACAAATAGCGGCTTCATTAGGCTTAGCGCCACTTAAACTTTTAATTTGTTGATAATTCTACAACTATTGCATGCGTATCAACTAAAGGCATAAAAACCCTAACCGGAACAACATAATTCAATCTTTAAAGCAAAAAATGCACAATTTACCAACATGTAAGACTAAAAAATATGAAATATCTTTTCAAATATGACCTTTTGTTTTCGTATTTGAAATTTAAATTCATTTTTAAAAATTCATTTTCAAGAAATACTATATAAAAGAGTTTATTTCGAGAAGAAAATGAAATGAGTAAATTTTAAGTCTTTTTTTATTTCAGAAAATTAAAGATTTAAACAGGGAAAAAAAAAAAAAAATCTGAAAGCTTTCATACTTTATATTACACCCAAAGGATCGTTTTTATAACGTTTTGTGAGTTACCTTTATTTATTAAATATCATATTCTTTGCACCTAAACCATAAAATTCAGTTCAACAGCAATATCACAAAATAATTTAAAAAGAGCATATCTTTAGAATTTCCGATACACAGTCCACTGCTGGAGGTAAAAATGTTCTTCCCGTACAGGGTGTTGCCATTATGCTCGCTTTAAAATCGTTGAGTTTGCTAAAAATTTATGCCAAAGCGAAATTAATAGCCTTTCTGTGCAAATTGGCCCTTTGGGCTAAAAATTTTCTGCGTTTAGCAAGTAGAAACAGCATGTGCTTAGGAATTAATAATTTTCATTCGCAGTTATTATCTATTCAATTTTATGCTACTCAGATTCTTTAGAAAACAAGGAAACTGTCTAAATATATTATTTAATACTTATTTCAGAAAAAGTCTTGAGATTTCCGATTTTAATTTCCTTGTAATGAAACTATCTTCTTCCAGTCAGAGCTTAATTTCTAAAATTAGAAGTGCCGGAGCCCTATGGAAGACCGTCAGCAAAGAGGCACAAAAGTAAATAAATAAATAAAATGGCTCTATTAAATATCATTAATAATTTAAAAATTAAATAGTTAATTATTATTTAATTAATTTTAATAATTATTATCTGTCAATTATTAGCTAATTAACGATTATTACGTAATTAAAAATTAATTTTATTGTTTTTATTAAAATAGTTAAATAATTAAAGATAAACGTAACTAAATAATTAAATTAAAATTAAATAAAATGTAAAGAGATAAATTGCAATTTAATAACCGATTTGTAATATAATTTTATTGCAAAAAATAAAATTTTCGAGATCAAATTTCTACTGATATTGTTTTTGAGTTACAAAACAGAAGCGCCAGAGCCTTCTGATTTAGGACTCCGGTGCACTCCGGCTAGAATTATGATTTATCCTAAAAACTAAGAAGTACCGGAGCCGGGCTCCGGTGGGCTCCGGCGCAATTTAAGCTCTGCTTCCAGTGTATAAAAATTGTTGATTTAGCTTTTGAGAAACTAGTTCAATTTAACTTCGATAGATGGCGACAACAGCTGTAGGATTTCAAGAAAATAACCGTGTGGCGACTCCTCAATAATACTGAGCTGATGAAGGAAATGGGATCTGGTGTCAGTCATTTCCTTCATTTACGTGATTTATAAACGTAGTTCGGACAACGCGGTCTTCGTTTCATACACTTAGATGGCTCTTCAAGGAAGGTGGGAGGCCTCTTTTTTTTTTTTTTTTTTTTTTTTTTTTCATTGCAGATATTTATAGTAAATGATTAATTCAGACCACATTTATTATTATTAATAAATGCGGTATTAAACTTTAATACCGCTTCTTGCCTAGTTTACATTCTCTACACTAGGAACCGCCAATTATAATCGTTATTTTTAATTAATTATTTTAAATTTATTTTTGATTAATACATTTTTTAACTTAGGTTATTTATGAACAGACTTAAATGATTTGGGGTGATCAAATTTTATTTTTAAAATTCCTGTGGAAGTAATATGAAACTTCGGTAGAATGGGGGGAAAATTAATGCACAGATAATATAATACTAAAACGAAAACTAATGAGTAATTAAATAAACATTAAGTTTTAATCAATTCATCTAAATAGATGATTTACGTGGATAAATAACTTATAATGTATTGTAAAAATGAAATAAAATAATTAAAAAATTGTCATCGAACATAAAAAATGAAAGTAAATATTTTAACGTGGCAGATAATATTTCTGCTTTAGTTTGGCATGTTGACTGAACAAATTTAAGCTCAACTATTCCTCTTCCTTCATATATTTTAGCATAGAGTATGTTTCAAAACTACTAAAGTTCACTGCGTTATTTTGTTAGTATCAATATTAGTTTTACTAGCTGCTGTAAGAGTGTGACATTAATGAAAGAATCTTCTATCGGCCTTGCGATTCAAAGAAGAATGGGATTCATCCAGAGCTTAATTAAGAATTTTAGAGGCACAAAGCATTTGAAAGATTTTGGTGCACCCACGTATGTTTACGACAGTGTTTTTTTTTTTTTTTTTTTTTCCCCTTTTTTTGGTCATTCTTTCTTTCGGTTTTTGGTTAGCTGCATCATGTATTCCATGGTAAAACTGACAATGAGAACATTTTTGGTTCCCCCTTGTGGTGCTCCTTGCCTTGATGCCTTAAGCATATATTTATATTGCCTTAATGGTTAATCCAGCAATGGACTCATTCTGTTTGGTCCTCCGGATGAATTAAAATTTCATGCAAAAGCTGAAAATTACGGAAGCAGAAATAAGTTTAAACTTTGAAACATTGTAAGAAATCATAAGAAGAAGAAACACCTAAGAAGACCTAAGAAATCATTCTAAGAAACATTCTAGATAATCAGTAGGAGGGTGAAGTGGTTTAAATCAACCTCCTTCAGAAAAGAAAAAGATTCATTTTGACTAGTCTCTTTTACGAAAATTCTTACACTTTTACTCGTAAAAGATCTTAAAAAGTCTCTTTTTGCGTCATATTTTAGGCCTGTTAAACATATTCGGATTTGCCTTATAAGCAGAAAAATCGAAGAAAAACCATGAAACTTTAAAGAACGCTAATTATTTTAAGCATTCGTGCGATTGGAAGCATTAAAGTTAAACAAAATCACAATCATAGATCGTAAATTTCATATAAAACAATGATATCGAGAGCAACTAATTTATGTCTCTCTTCTTCAAGAGTATTAAAAAAAAGCTTCTTAAAAATATTGCAAGATTTCCTTACTACTGTAGTGAAAAACTTCGATATGTTGCAATAACAAAGCTAAATACTTCATATATTTACAGTCATAAATAGAACAAACTGTAAAATGTAAAACTTCGGGATGGGGGTTGGGGATCTGGTGTATATGGAAAACCTTATTGATTTCGAAAGCGACGAACACATGTTTACTTCCTTGTACGTAATAAAAAGGAAGTATTGTAATCGCGAAAAATTTCGGCTATCATACAGGGTGTTTATAAAGTAGTCTCGGACTCATTTTGATGTTTAATAACTTATAAAATAATAAAGATAGATTAAAATTAATAACATAAATGATTAGATAGACTCAAAAAGTTTCATGACCCTTGTCAATGAATTTCCACGTGTGCCCCCTTCGTCGCACGGAGAATATCAAGTCGATATTCAATTTCACGGCAAGCATGTCGGCATCCACAGAGGCTATTGCGGTTGTAATTCTGGCTTTTAGGTCATCAATGTTCGACACTCTCCTCCTGTAAACGTTGTCCTTTACAAATCTCCAAAGAAAAAAGTCCAGCGGCGTTATATCAGGTGATCTGGGTGGCCAAGGAATTGGACCTCCTCGCCCAATCCATCTTCCTGTAAAATGGTCATTCAAAGAACTACGAACGATGGTACCCCAATGAGGTTGTGCACCATCTTGCTGCAAAAAAAACATGTGGCTGAAGTTCTTCTAGTTGTGGAAATACAAAGTTTTCCATCATGTCTAAGTATACGACTGATGAGACCGTCATTTTTGTGAAAAAGAAAGGCCCAATGACTCGGTCGTGCATTAGTCCACACCACACATTAACCTTTGGGGAATCCCTTTGTGTCTCACGGTATTCATGGGGGTTTTCAGATCCCCATATGCGCATATTATGGCGATTAACAGTGCCAGAAAGATGAAAGGATGCTTCGTCGGAGAACATTATGCGCTTCAGAAATTCAGCATCATCTTCTATCCTCCTTAGCATATCCATCCTCCTAGGCCTATTGTCCGGTTCCAAAACTTGAACAATTTGAACTTTGTATGCATGCAATCTTAATTTTTTCTTAATAACCATGTACACCGTCGAAATTGGCATATCCAATTCTCTTGCCGCTGATCTCACAGACCTTCTAGGATTGTGTAAAAATGTCTCTCTGACACGCTCAACATCAAAATCCCTTGTGCAGGGACATTCGGAACGTTTCTTGTTTGCGATACTTCCAGTTTCTAGAAAATTCTTTTTCCACCGCAAAATGCTGCTTTTGGATGGAGGATCTTTTTGGTAAATTCTTCTGCAATTTCTCTGTGTTTGCATTATGGATTTCGTTTCTATGAACCACCATAAAATCTGTGCTTTCTCTTGTGGTGCAGGCATTCTCCTTAATATCCGGTCGAATAAAACATCACATACAAAAGTACTAGAACAAACACATCAAAAGTAAACATAACATTGCAATAGTTGCCAAAAACGAGAGAGAAAAATGCAATTAATAAGCAGACGATATTTAGAAAAGTACAGATATTTAGACTGGAAAATGAAATTATCTGAAATTAACCACACGCGCAGACGATATTTACAAAAATAAAGATATTCAAACCTGAAAAAGAAAATATATTTTTAGTCCAAAGGGATTTCAGTCCCGAAGGACTATTGCTTTCGTTTTGGCATTTTGCGTCGGACTCATAAACGTCGGTTCACTTTTCAAACTGTTGCCACAAAATGTTAGAGTCCTTCCTGCATTATATTTGAAGAAATTAAATAATGAAAAATCTGCATAAATGATTGTCTATTTCTCGCATTGTGATAAAACAATGGTACATAGAGCCATCGAATTTTGAATGACGAAATCCTACTGCGAATATGGGCATCTGAAATCCCAAATTTGGAATTTGTTTTATTATAGATTTTATATTTTGTAAAACTTTAACGAATTTGTGTTGTTAAAGTTAAACTCAATGCTTTAAAAGCGAGAAATGGCAACGTTATATATAAAAAAAAAAAAATACTTTTATCTCCAGCTCGCGAGACTGTGTATATCGGAAATTCTAAAGATATGCTTAATTTAACATTATTTTGCGATATTGCTCTTGAACTGAATTTTATGGTTTAAGTGCAAAGAACATGATATTTAATAAATAAAGGTAACACTCAAAACGTTAAAAAAACGCCCCTTTGGACGTAATTTAAAATCTAAAAAATTTCAGATTTTTTTTTTTTTTTTTTTATTAAAAAGAAAATATCCATTTTGCCTGCTATCCAATGCAATTTAACGATGTTTTTGCGTGACATCCGTACGTAAGAACAGAATAAAGAATTCTTTTTCTCCCAAAAAATTATAAAACTGATTTAAAATGAATTCTAAAGCGATTTTTTCGTGGCGTCTGTACCTACGTATATATTTATGTATATCACATAACTCAAAAACGAGTACCCTCAGAACGTTGCAATTTTGAATATGGGACTGCTATAACATGTAGATGTGCACCTCCCCTTTTGGTTGCAATCGGTAGCACCAAAAGTATATAAATATATGTGTTTAATGTTACTCGGCTCAGTGAGCTCAGTTTCTTTATTCATAAGAATAACATATAAATATAACATATAAATGTTTGTAATTTGTGCATTTTTTTGCTTAAAATGATTGGATGGATGATAAGAAGTTGTTCTTATTTTCCGGTTAAGATTCTTATGCTTTTAGTTAATCTGCATACAATAATTGTGGAATTATCAACGTTTTAAAAGTTTTTTTTAAATGCAGCTAAGCCTAATTTTTTATTACGATAGCAGTCATATTTGTTTATATTTGAAACTTAGCAGAACAATGAATTTATTGCCAATCTAGAGAGCTAAGCTTGGCAACAGCAAAGTAACGTCTTCTTTTATTATTGTGAATTAAATTATGCTCAATTCCTTCTGGAATTATCATTTAAGTTACTAGCTTGCTTTTGCATACAAACTGTAATCTTAATTGTAAAAATTGTTTTTTTAATTCTTTACTTAATCTGTACTTAGTGTTTTATGTTTTTCTATATCTTTCAAATTTTAATGAATATATTTTGAATTTTTATGTATTTTTGCCTTGTCGCGAAGTGAAGATTGACTTGTCGCGAAGTGAGGGCGCTGAATCGTTTGCGAAAAACTGTTTTTATTATTATTATTATTATTATTTGTTTCATTTTTATACATAATTTTATATTTAATATAGTATTTGAATAGAACTTGTGGTAATTCTTCAGATGATATAATTTTTGTGCACTCTGAATTAAAAAAATGACTGAGATGTAACGCTGTTAAGTGAACCTACCGCCGAAGTGTCCTCATGGTAAATAAATATAGTGAACTTTAAAGAGTGCATTTCTTCTTTTGTTGTTTATGCGCTATCGGCGAAGTGCATTTAATTCAACATTCGTTAACTGTTATATGTTTAAATGAAATGCAGGAAAATTGCGTGTAATTTAATATTTCGTACAAGGAAGTTACGTGGTGCACACATCAGACTTTTTTAATGCACGGCTGGGGGGGAATATAATTAAATAAAATTAAATGCATGGCAGGGGTTTAATGATAAAACAACACATAAATTACATTTGGCCACCTATGAGCTTAGAAAGGATTATGAAAGGGGGTGAAAGAAAAGTATCAGGCCAAAAAATTTATTTCAAAACTTTCATATCAGACAAAAGAGATGACAAACATTGACTTTCGATAATAACACCAAACAGAGAAACTGTCTATGATACATATAAGATATGGTTCCCTGTTTTTTACGTTCTAGTTTCATGCAACTTGCAGCGCCAACCGATGGCTCACCTTAACCTAACGATCGTCATTGACATTATCTGTAATAACTCGCTTTCTCTTACGCAGACTTTGACAATGAAATCACAGTATATAATTCTGCAGCTATTTCAATGGTTTTTGAAACTGTGTTCCGGGGAACTTTGGGGTTCCAAGTAACTTCTGTAGGGTATTTTAATAAATTCAAATCAAAATTCGAAAGAATTTTTTAATAGCACGAGGACTTGGAAACCAACTTTCTAAAATAATTAAGTAAGTAATATTCTTCTGTTTCTGTTATTACTAAAAATAATATAAAGAAAATTGATTTCATGAGTAAAATTGTGATAAAATAATGACTGTCTATTTATTTTTACATAAGACGCAAGCAATATCGACATATTTTTAATGCTTTTTAAGTTTCCAAAGAAGATAAGGGTTCCTTAAAAACAAATTATATTTTAAGGTTTCACGAAAGGAAATTGTCGTTTCCCCGATTCGATAAATTTCCAAGATTATTCATCTGTTTATTAGGCATCTATAAGTGTCAGAATGATTATGTATTACATGTTACACGCATTTAGAGATATAATATCAAAAATTTGCATTCAATATAATGAAATTTATATTTCATTTATAAGCAGTTTGGATTGTTGAGCACGAAGCTGTTTATCTGTTCTCTGGTCATCTGAACATTCATTAATTCAATAATATATAATGATTGTGTTACGTTACTTCACTACTTTTGATAAATTATTAAAGGAAGTTAGCAGCTGGGTTTGGTCACTTCACGCTGCGTTTGTCTCACAATGAGGCATCTACTATTTGAGTCTTTCAGTGAAAAAGAGTCAGATTGCAGTTGGCCAGTAACAATGTGGTAGGTGTTACCCAGGGCTAAAGAAAGAGAAGGGCTGGGTCATCCGTTTGAGAATAACGATGCTGACACGAACCCTCTTGGGGAGCATACCCGATGTTATGTGACGTCACTGGGTTCGTCCCGTCGTCGACTGACCAGAGCATCAAGTGCGAAAGATTGAATCTTTAGTTCTTAGATTCTCTTTTCTTTAGCCCTGTTAGTTTCAGAGAAAGAGGTGGTTTTTTATTTATTTTTTTATTTTATTATTTTATTTTACTTATTATTATTATTATTATTGTTTTTTACTTGAAAGTTATAACTGATGATACTTTTAAAGGGATTTTGTATTTAGAAAGTTCTTGTAATGAGAAATCATTGAAAAAATAGTATCGTGTGCCGTTGCTACCTGTAGTAATATATATCATAATACGAAAGAAACTAACGTGGTATTTCATAGATTTTCGTACAAAAATATTCGGTTAACGAAAGAATGGTTGCATAGTTGTCGAAGAGCGAATATTGTCAACACAAAGAGTGCTCGAACATGCAGCAATCACTTCACTGAATCTGATTATGAGGATGATATGAACAATAGCTGGGATTGCTGACAAAAAAGTTACTGAAGTCAACTGCTATTCCAACTGTTTGTATTCTTGACTTGGTTATTTATCAGAATACACCAAGGCAGCAAAGGCAACAAAAAAGAAAAAATTTACAAAGTGCATTTGAAAGAAAGAATTTAAGTCCTAAAAAGGCATGTCTGGAATTTCAAAACTATAACAATAATAGCTATGAGAAGCTCACTGAAAATAATATTACTCAGCAATGTTGCAACTGTTCCAACCTCCAGAAAAATGTGAATAATTTAATCACAAAACTATTTTACAGACTGAGAGAAAGCAGCATTTAAAAGCTATCTTCCAGCAAAGAAAAAGATTTAAAAGGAAACAGAAAACTAATATTAGAAAAAGTTCAGAAACTGAGGAAAGAAATTAAAAAAGTGAATCAATAAAATGAAAAACTAAGAAAAATGAAAACATATGTTCAAAACATATTTACCGAAACTCAAAAATAAATGCATTAATGAAAAAATGAGCGAATTAAATGGTCTCCAGACGACATTTCAAAAAGCATAGCAATCAGGTCATTATCCTTAAAGTCATATGACTTCTAGAAAGAAAAAATGGGTATTCCGCTTTCAAGTGCAAGTACACTGAAAAGATGGTGCTCAAGGTTCAATTGCATTCCTGGCATTTTAAATTATGTACTGTTATTAATAAAAAAATTTGACAAAATGCAACTGACGAAGAAAGATTATGCGTATTAAGTTTCGATGAAATTCATATTGTTACGAATTTGGTATTTAAAAAGCTAATGTTAGTTCAGTTATAAATTAAATGGTTTTATTTCTCGCGCAGTGCAGCGCGTGACGAATATTAAAAGAAAGCTAAGCCGGAAAAATTAAAAATACAAGAGCGCGTGCGTTAAATAAATAAATATCTCTTTTTGATTTCGAGAAAGTACTGGAAAATTCTAGCGCGTGATTTTAAAATCTTATAAAAGGAGGAAAAACATCTCAGTTTTGTGAGTAGTTGCTTAGTTTGTTGTTGTTTAGAAAACTACTGTTGTTGATTGTAGCGAATTCGCGGATTAGCGTTCTTTAGCTGTTTTGAATTACGTTCTATTGGACATTTGAGTAGTTAAAAGATAACTACTGTGAGATATTGTAATACTGCATGAT